CAAAAATTAGGCAGTTGTAGAGGTTTGTGCTGGACGTTAAGTTTGATGAAAAGAAAGTGTCACAAATAACATCTATCTTGCAAGCTTAAATACGATTGACGTTCAGGTGCTTACAATCTTATCAAGTATTTTGCATTTCCTGCTATAGCCGTACTTTTTAAACATAGCCATCGTATAGTTCTTGTACCTTTTCGCTCATTCGCAAGTTGTTTAATAAACCAGTATATAGTAGCAATGTCTTTGGCACTTGAAGGAGAAACGACACCGGCTATATGAAGTGGTTCTTCTCTCCAAAGTACAAGGATCTTCTTCAGGTAGTTGTCCAAAGGAATCTGCCGCTGCTGCTGCTACTCTTCAAGTTACTTAGTTATGCATTTTTGGCAGTAGTCGCTTAAACCCGAAAACTCGAATAAGAGTACTTTGAAAGAAACATTCCCACCGTTTGGATCAGACAGGGTGTCTTATTAATACATAATCTTCGTGAAACTGACATAATGTTGGCATTTTTTAAACTGAAGGCGATTAAATAAAATTATTTGATAGGTATATACTGTGTAGTATATTAAGTAGTCATTATCGATACAAAGTGATAATTATACTTTCAACAAAATGGTCTTAAAATTCAGCCAGCGTTTGGTTCTTCTTCCATTTCTTCTTGGCCCCAACTTTCTTGCTTCTTTCATTCATGAAGTATTTAAGTTTCTTATACAGCCAATCACTTCTTTTCACCTTTATTCAGGAATGCCTCAGTTGACTGCCTCAGGAGTTATCGAACTGTGGTCCTTTGGAGACCTGCGTCACTCCAGTTATTTAAACATGTTTGCATTAGTGTAAATGCTTCAGGTAGTGTTTTCCTTGTCAAGTGTCAAGTCTCTTTTTCCCGGGCTCGTTTTTCTTTATACTTAGTCGTTGCTGATCCGGTTGCTGCGCGTCTTTCTTCGGCAGTTCTTTTCAGATGATTGAGGTAATTCGTTAAAATTTTTTTCTTCTGTAGAAATGTATTTCTGACAAATGTGTTTGATGAAGTTGAACCTCGTTAACGTCAAAGACTGCTTCTGATATTTTCCGCGTTCTTCGGTAGTCTGCTTAAAAAATAGCCTGAAAACAGCTTTTAAATGCAAGAGGCAAAGATAGCAATTGGAAAAGCAACATCAGGTGCTGTAGCCATCATAATGATAGCCGTTTGCCGTTTAGCTTAGTTCATGCTGATATTTCAAGTACGTGGACACCATTTATGAAAATTTCAATATTCTTCTCTTCTTTCTTGCTTCATAAGTGCTTTTAAAAAGGTATTCTTAAGACCATATTATGCTTTTCTTCGATATGTCGGTTGCTGATTTTATATTAAACGCTTTTATTCTTGATCTAATGTCAGTCATTTTTCACCGATTTTGTTTCAGAGATAACTTACTGTCTAGCGAAAATATTGCTAGCTTGGTAATTATGGGTATTTGTGGTCTTCTGTTTGTGCCCATTATCGGTTTGACTGGATTTCACATTGTCCTTGTTGCAAGAGGTCGAACCACCAACGAGCAGGTAAAAGCATTTTTTAGCCTAGTACATAATGCGAACTATCTCGTTTACAGGTGACCGGAAAGTTCCGACGTGGTTTGAATCCGTTCACTGTTGGACTTTGCCAAAATGTTTCGAAAGCTTTATGCTCTCCGCTTTTTCCGAGGTAAAGAAACGAAACCGGAATCATCACATTCCGGTTCACTGGTCAATCGCCACTTTATGCTGCTCTTGTTTTAGACTTCGCGAAATGTACGGAAAGGAAGTTCTGCCCATAATCAGGAAAGATCTTCTGCTAAATAATCACGAGCTTCCTGCGAATAATATCGATGAACAGATTTTTGTCACCGACAGCAAACTATCTAATTTGAAGTACTCTGCTTCTGGCAAGTCGTATCAGAAGGTAATTTATGTCTTGTATAAAATCCGTTAAAATCGAACATGGTCTGAAAGAGGAAATAAACTATGCATAATGCTTTATTACGTAGACAGTTTGAGGTAGTGTTAAGTGAAGGTCTGTTCTGCACGTTGCATGACTGGTTTTTTCGGTTGTTTATTGTCTGTTGAAATCTTATGAGCATTCTTTCATTCAGTGACCTTTCAGTCTTTTTGCGGTATCTTCTCCCTACTGCCACTTCGGTCCTTTTGCCTTTATTTCATTCATTCATCTTCCATCGCCGCTTCTCCTTTCGGGTCGCGGAGGCAGACGCGTCAGAGGGAGCTTCCAACGTTCCCGATCCTGTGCCAGAGTCTGAGCTTCGGCAAAAGACAAATGCAGTCTGGAACA